TATTGCCAAGACTTGCTGTTATCTAAGATCTATTGTACTGTAGGCTGCTTTTTAAAAAAATATCTTAAGATGTTTAAAATAAAATGAAAATGATAAGAGACTAATGTAGGAAGACTTTAAATGGAAAGTCTGAGATTTGAATTAATTTAAAAATTTAAGCTTTGGCACAACTTTTCACACACAGTTGTAGCAAGCATATTTTGGGAATGATTCAGTTATCTTTTAATCATAATACTTTAAACATAAATCCAATACCAGAACAAATCAATTAGATTTGGTTCCAGTTTTTTTAGCACTTTTTCTTTTAGGCACAAAATTAGTGATTGTATTGGAGTGTCTGTTCATCTGTTTTCCTACAGTCATTATTCAAGCAATAATTACCTTAGACAGAGTTTGCCAGCCCTCAAAGTTTTACACACTCCCATAGAAGATTTTGGTGCTTTAGATTTCATACACGTGGCAGACCACAATCATATTCCTAATATAATTTTCAAATACTTCCCAGCTTCACATTTTTCCTTTAATTTTAATAGTCGTCCTTTGGGAAGAGTAAAAATGTGATTATTAAACAGGAGTTAAAACGGAACTTTAAAAATTACTAGTTTTCATCCTAAATAAAAATAAGTGTAATCTCCTCCTAAACTACAGAGAACCTCAGCCATATGTTGTTGGAAGGATTATATGGAGTGTGAGAGTGTTTTTCGTTCTATATGATCTTTGAAGGTGGTGTATATGGCTCATTCTGTATTCTTGGTTAATATGTTCTTTGAATGATGTATTCCTGTCTCATACTGTGCACAAAAGTATGCATCTGGCAAACTAGAGCTCTGCAGTTCTTTATACTGAATATCTTTAGGTACTAATAATGGTCCTGTCCCTTAATACTTTTGTCTTTTGAGAAGTGATGCAGGATAACCTCCAAAGTCTCTTGGGAAACTTTAAGTATTTTTTATCTTTCAAGCTTAGACAAAACAAAACAAAACCACCTGATATCAGTCATGCTATTAGGCAGTCTCCTCTGAGGAGTCCCTGGAGGTTGCACCCTGTTTTACATGTGACTTTTTTATTTTGGTCTACTCTTCCTTTATGGAAGGTATGGAAAGCCCTCCAGAGTGTTTACTGATGGTTCCCTATATCCTTGTCAGAATATTGCTATCACACATTCCTTTCAGCTACTTGCAACAAGGGTTTCACATTGATAAGGCATATATCAAGATTCTTCCTTCATCTCGCTACATGAAATGAATTTGCTGGTTTGGATTCCCTAGAATGGAGAAATGTTTTCCTTTTTCCTCTACTCCTACTTCAGGTCTAATAAAGGTATTTTTCCAGTTTGGGCTGTTACTGTCCCCCATTTTAGCAAAATTTAAATAAGATTGAAGAACATCCAGCATATCATAATCTCCCTTAACTGTTGTTTTAAAACCTGATTGAAGACTTAAGGAATTTGAACATTTTGTTTTCAATAATTTGCAAACATCTTGTTCGCAGCCTTCTCAGTGGAAATCTGCAGGAGCCAATCCTTCTGTCATAGTTTGAGGTGGATAGCCCTTTGGGCCTATCTACACTTGTGACACTTTCTAAAAATTCTCACTGTTTTGCAGACCCCTGTTCCTCAGTGAAGTCCCCGGTAAAACAGTATCTCTTCCCTCCCCCCCCGCCTTTTTTTTTTTTTTTTTTTTTTTAAACCATCTGTGGAAATTACCCTGGCTTTTCTTCCTATTTAGAAAAAAGTAATTTTGGACATTTAAAAAAAAAAATATTCTGACCAGCCCTACTTTTTACAGTCTGAGAAGTAGCTTACTTGAATTTGAGTCCCAGTGCTCACATACCATGTTCTCGGGCCTCTTCTACTGCGCACTTCAGTTGCATCCCACTGTTTCTCACTGCTTTTTAGTGGTTGGTCACTGCTCATTTACTTGGCAGTGTAGAGAGTTACTTTCAAGCAGATAATGAAGATATTCTCCTTCCCCCCCCCCCCCCGTTCTTTTTTTCATTTTGGGATGGTTAAGTGACAAAACAATATTGTGGTTCATTTATTTCATTTGTAGATCCCTATTTTCAGTTACGAAGGTGAAACCGTTTGTTTTTCCTTCCATAGTTATAAGCCTTCTGACTACTTAGAAATACGTGTTTTATTCTCAGGATGTGGTCTGGACAATTGTTTTTAAACCATTCTAAAATGGGAAGGACGTTTAATGCTTTTCTTGTGGTATTTGGCAGTCTCAGGAAAGGGCTATATTGTTCAAGTCCTGCTTTGCCAGGTGGATCAAATTATTCCATTTATTATTTCCATAGCCTCATTCTCCTGGAAGTGCGACACGCTTGTCTATCCATAATCAGTCCTCTTCAGAGAGAATGTGTGAAGTCACTAGCTGACCCTCAATATTTTTTTCTAAGCATTACAAAATTTAGTTGCTCTTACCTTTGGATTCAGTTTTTTGGGAACAGAGGAGTCTATTCTTAGTGCATTTCAGGGAGAAGTGTATTGTTGAAAACAATAAAGTATATTTGTGTATCTGTAAAAATATTCTGATTTGATAGGGCTTTTCAGTGGTCTTATTTTTCTGACTTATAATAACCTCTCTATTTCTTTGAGTTGCAGTGACTGTCTTAGTACTTGTTCACTATTTTATTCCTCTGCTTGTGTGTTTGGTTGGATGATGGTCACTGCTTGTTACTTCCCATTAGTCCCATCACTTCTGCGTAAGATAAGTCTCCTTCATCACACAATCCTGATCCATCCTCAGAGCAGATGGAAAAATAGTATGTGCTCATGTAATTAAAGAGCATATCATAAATCATACACACAGAGGGCCTGCATTAAGATTGCAACCTCAGTTTTCTGGCATTTCCTCACTTTAGAGTGCTTGATGTTGCAACTTTAAAATGTTCTTTTAACAGGTGTTTTTGTGTGTAATGTGTATAAACTCTGGAGATGACAATATTCAATTTAGTCTAAAAGCTGTCCATGGCAAAAGGTGGTACATACATAGCTCATAGCTGAGGAGTGTGTGTTTAATTAAATGTTTCTTTTGAAGTTCAGAAGCTTATGCACTTGTTTTTACGAAGGGTTAGTAGTAATTAAGAATGTCTGATTGCTTACTCCCTTTCAGCCTTTCATGACTAGAAAGATTTTGAACAAGTAGATTACACTTCTGCGATACATGCTTTCCTGGGAGCCCTGTGAAGTTGTCATTTGCTGTGAAAGGGAAGAGGAAATTTCCTTCAACAAAACATTTTAGCCTGATATCGAACTTCTTCCAATTGTTGACAGCTCAGGAAATGTGAACTTGGATATTTCTCCTAGAGTACACACCTGACAAAAGGATATCAGAGAGATGAAGATCTAAGTTTATGGTCTGATAATTACAGCTCCCCATGGATGTAGGAGGGGATGGTAGATTACCCATGTCCTTTGATCTTTCAGTTCATATAGATGCTAAATATTAAGAAGTACTTCCGGTAATTTGATGATCCTAAATAAATAAGAGGATAATCTATTTAGCTAGTTTCAATTTTGGTTTCTGATGAGTCGTCATAACTTGAATGTGTATCCAAATGAAAATAGAATGTCTGTCTTTATACATTTTATGTATTTTTTAGCCACTGTGGGGGTAGTATGTTCTGAGCATGCCCCCTATTCTCTACCTCATGTTGACAAATACTTTTTAAAAAAAAGTTATCATGTTACCTTTGAAGCTTTTTGAATCTGGGTTTCCTGTCATACCAGAAGTCTCCTGTTTCTAATTTTTGAGATACCCTTCACTGACCAAAATAGTCAGACATCTAGATGTTTAAGAAAGCGTTTTGTGGATTTAAAACTTAGACTTTTTTTAGAGAAAGTAAAGCGGGTTTTTTTTGTAAAATCAAAGGATGTCACTAATAAGCAGTAACCTTGTGCGCATACAATGCTTATTCCAGTCTTTCAGAGCAATTTTAAGATAACTAAATACTAATATCTATATCTATTTTTCCTTCTATTGCTATCCATCAGATTATATCATTTATAGTACAAACCCAAAAATCATGAGTTTTTTCCTGCATGGGCTGCATACACGTAATTTTTTTTAACTAAAGTTGAAATTGGCAGAGACAACTGAACATGAATCCCACAAGTTCGTGCATTCCCTTACAAGCTAACCGCTCAGAAATCCTTAACTTTATTTATATTTAAATGTACGTCCCTTTTCTCTTAACATCTCACTTCATGTGAAACCCCTATATTTTAAATGTAACCTTTTTTCATTATAGAATTGTAGGATGAAGTAGAATTGAAATGCTGAGGAATTTTAAATTTGTTTCCTGGTTTGATGTATTTTGCTGGAGAGGCACAATAATTGAAGGGAAAATATAAACATTAAAATCCCTGTGGAGCTTCCTAATGAAACATACCCTACTGGAAGGCATTCTGCGAAATGGGCCACATTGACTAGAAGTTAAAGCACAGCACTGGGAGATGGACCTAGGTTCTAACCTCAGTTTTAACGTTTGTAATGTTGTACAAATCACTTAATCTTTCAGTTCTTTGTTTCCCCCCCTTTTCCCGTTCCGAAATCCTTATTAATTTTGTAAAAACTAATTAATATTAGTGAAGTACTACTAAGTCCTCACAAGGTTACTCTAGCTCTAAGAACGTGACATTTGTAGACTGCAGCACTGAGCTGGGGTGAGAAGGCAGTCGAGGGAATCAGAAGTGCTGAGGACTGGGTATTGCCATTCTCGTTCTCTCAGACATCTGCACAACTTACCACTGAGGTGCTGGAGGTGGTTTTTTAGCATGAAGTGGGAGGATTTGCACAGCAAGCTGACCTTTCCCCTGGATACATTGCCTTGATTTGGCAGTCGATATTTGTGCAATTGCATGGCTCAAAGATAGTAAATATTTCCCTTTGAATCAGGGCTTTGCTGATGAGAATATATTAGAGTGTTTTTAAGAGGATGAAAAAAACTTGAGCAAATTAAGTTTGCCTGTTCATTTGTTTTTTATTTTGCCATAGGACTGAAAGAAACTGCTGAAGAGATGGTCAAAAGCAAGTTGGACGGAAAGGATAAACTAACTCCTTGGGAACAATTTTTAGAAAACAAGAAAGAGAAAAGAAAACTGAAGAAGAAAAGAAAGGTGCGTATGTTCTGATCACTCACATTTTTAATTAAAACCTATAACCGTCCTATTTTGCCTTGAATTAAATACAAAGGAGTTACAGTTTCTAGAATGATTTTGGGGGTTGATAGTGTGGTGTGTCTTCATTTAGAGACTGTTTACAAGTAACTTACCAAATCTAGAGAGTTAGAAGGATGTTCAGGGTAATACTAGTCATAACAGGCTTCCACATATTTTCGTCTGTCTTTGGCAGCCAAAGTAAATATCATTGTAAATTTGTGTGATAAAAGAAAAATAAACATACATCTACCCAGAAAACTACCTTTTGATCTTGGAGTTTTGTTAGCCACTTAAACATTCCAGAGTGTATCATATTTGTTGCTAAAATATGATTGGATAGCAAGATTTCTGATTAGGATGTACAAAATTCAGTCTCCCAAAGTTCTAGCAGCATAAACATTTTGAATGGCATTGAGGAGTTGCTCAAAGATCAACTAGATGTGTACCCTTGAGGGATATTTCTGTGTATGAATGACAAAATGGAATTGCATTCATACTACTGGTCTTTCTGCCCTGCTGCTTTTTTGCCTTTTCATTTACCAAAGGAATTTGTGAATTGATTCCTGTGGTGGTAACACATGAATGTTAGGGAGACTTCTTTTAAAAAAATACGCTGCCTAATTCTCCCTATATTTTCTTTCTTCATTCTGAATCAGCCCCAGTATCACAAATGTGGTTTCTTTATAGTGCCTCCTGCTGGTCAAGGGTGGCCCTGCAGATGCTCCCTGTCTTGGTTTACAAGGTGTGTCAGCCTGTCAGAAACAGTGGCCCCTGTCATATGCTTGGCGTCAGTCTTTAACAGTTAAGTCAGTAGTTCTTAAACTTTTGTACTGGTGACCCCTTTCACTTAGCAAGCCTCTGAGTGTGACCCCTCCCTTATAAATTAAAAATACTTTTTGTATATATTTAACACCATTATAAATGCTGGAGGCAAAGCGGAGCTTGGGGTGGAGGCCGACAGCTCATGACCCCCCATGTAATAACCTTGTGACCCCCCACCCGAGAGGTCCCAACCCCCAGTTTGAAAACCCCTGGGTTAAATAATAATGAAGTCAGAAATAGGCTGTCTGGGTCTGTATCTTTAAACAAACAAATAGAAAAGGCAACTGCTTCATTGCAGTGCTTTAAGCAAAGGTCCTTTTTTTGGACCTGGGGTTCTGGAGCACTGAGGAGCATCTCCTTTGTCCTAATCTCTCCCAGCACTTGCCCCAGAAGAAGCAGGCAAGCCTTCTTAACTGGCCTGCTGCTTCTCTATTGGTCAGTGTCTCCTCTTGGCCCTTCTGGGCCTGCGGAGGACTAAGGGCTTGTCTACACTGGCAATTTACAGCGCTGCAACTTTCTCACTCAGGGGTGTGAAGAAACATACTGGTAGCTACGCCCCTCATGGAGGTGTTTTTTTAGGGCACTGGGAGAGCTGTCTCCCAGTGCTCTGCCATGACTACACAAGGCACATTAAAGCGTTGCCAGTGCAGACTAGCCCTGTGTCTTGTAGTTGGCCCGGCCTAAGTCAGTCTTCTTTAAGCAGGGGGTGTCAGGGGTTTAATGCTCCAGCAGAAGGCAGTGAAGGCCTGGTAGAGCCATATCACATCGAGATAACAGATTAATTAAAATAACTTCTGTGGCTTTGTTAATGTATTTGTCCATTCTCTAAGCAAAGTTACAAATGGCATTTGATCAGTAGCTGCTAAAACTTCTGAAAACAAACTGGCTTCTTGTGTTAAATAGTGTTTCTAGAGGCTACAGCAACTCTTGCTAGTGTAAGACTCTCTCATTTACCCTGACTAAAACCAACAGGGTAATGGTTCACATGTGCTGGAGGCTAGGTGTTCTAAGGAAAAGTTCCTCAGTTCTTGATCTTGCTTCCCCTATAAGTTTAAACCCACATTTGATAAACTTCAGGGCACAGTTGAAAGCTATTTACCCACGCTTTTGCCTAAAGAAGGTTTTTGTGGAGGACCATTGTTAGTTGACTATTCCTATTTTAAATAGGACCAGCACACTTTATGAATCTCCCAGTAAGGGCGGTCAGCTTGTTTTTTATATGCTGAGTTTATATTTTTTGCTTGTGGAATACAGGCAATGATGAAGCAGGAGTGATCGAGCAGCTGTGCTTTTTTGGCAGTGACTTCAACATGGATGTTTGAGAACTGCCTTTTGTAGAGAAGAAAGGATATATTATCTCCTTGGTAGTTCATAAACATGCTGTGCATACTGTCCACTCTTCTGGGTGTAATGATTTTACTTATTGTTGATCTCCTTGAATCATTAACTTGAAAAATATTGTGTGTGGATACGAAGAACCAGAAGTTTGCTTCTGATCCTATAATTAATTGGAATGTTTATACAGTTTATATTCTATGGACTTAAGACTTCTTTGAATGTGTAAATTATTCTGCTCTTTGTGTTCATAGTAAGATTTATAGCTCAGTGTGTTATATACAGACTTAGAATTGTTTATTTACATTCACCTTAGTTCACAGTTTATGGTATGTTTTAGATCTATGTCATTCAGATCACAACCTTAAAGCATCCGATGAAGTGAGCTGTAGCTCATGAAAGCTTGTGCTCAAATAAATTTGTTAGTCTCGAAGGTGCCACAAGTCCTCCTTTTCTTTTTGCGGATACAGACTAACACAGCTGCTACTCTGAAACTTTCAAGTTGTGAATTAGTAGCAGCTACAAGAAGTTATATTTCATTTAGATGAAACTTCTGTATTAGTTGCATGTTAAATGGAAATGACAAAAATCACTGTTTTTTGTTATAGGCTACTGCCAAAGAAGAACTGAATGAAGATGAATTTCCATCTGATGTTGACTTGAATGACCCATACTTTGCTGAGGAACTTGGCAAAACAGGTTGGTTAATAAAAGTAACTTTCACTTGTTTAAAATAATGTGCTCTTTAAATAACAAGCTATAGAAATAGAGAAGTATAAAAATACGGCTCAGTTGTCAGGGTTCGTGTGTGGAGTTAGTGATACGCAATTTGTGATAGCATGTGACTCTTGGCCTATATTGTATGGAATGTCAGGAAGACATTTCTCCCAGTACTTTCAGCAGTGACCATCAGCTGGTCACTATGTGGCTATGTGGGAGCCAGACCTACCAGCTGGTCCTCGAAACGCACCAGAAGAAAAAGAAAGAACCTGGTTGCCCTTGAAAGCCAAATAAGTTTTACCCCGTGTATAAACGGAAACACAGGGCTGAGCAACTTTGGTGGGCCCCCTTTGAGGTTTGGATAATTGAGATAAACATATCAAGTTGTATGTACATTTCCCAACTGAATTTGACCTCGTACCCTGAAGTTTTTCAGTCACTAACTGGGCATGCATAAGGTGTGAATGATGACCAAGAGCCAGAAGTCATAGCAGTCATTTGACACTTCCTTTTTTTTGTTTTTAGAGGGAAATGGGAATTGAAAACACGAAAATGTTTCAAGACCTCAGAACATGCATAATTGTTAAAATTGGTGGGGATTCAAGGGTCTTTATTTTGGGTGAACCGTTGCCCCTCTTCACTCTGTCTGCTACACCTTGATGTGGCTGCCAGTCCCAACCCTGCATAAAGTGGGGAGGGTTGACTCCAAGGATAACTGTCACAGCTGAGGGCAACTGAACCTGGATTTCCCTTCAGTGGTCCAACCAGGGTACCTACTCTCTGGCTTTCACCACTGCAAACATTGCCTTTCTTGGGTGGAGACCCATGTCTCCCTCCCTCCCTTCTAACTGGAGTATTTCCAGGCTGCACAATTCCTCCTGCCTTCACCGTGTTGCTCCTAGCAGAGACAGACTTCTTGTTTGCTGTCACCTGGTTGCTTTCTCTACAGAGATGGTTAACACTATGACTGCTATGACAAGTCATAAATACCACCAGCTCTTTTTATGCAAGCCTGTTTTATTCTTAAGGTAAATGCACTGGAGAGCACATATTAAAAACAATAAAAGAACCTATGCATGCTAATCAGCATACCAGAGATCACCCAAAACTTAACATGGGCTCTGGCAGGAGAGGTCCTTCAGTACCCCACCCAAGGAGTTTCCTTGTGACTTCCAGTTCATCACAGCTTCGGCTCAAAGCAAGCACACAGTCTTATGGACCTTAATAGGCCCAGTCCTTATAGCTCCTCCCTAAGGATTAAGGCCCTCAATGGACATGGGGACTTATGCATTTGCTGGATCAGGAAGAAGGTCCTGAGCCCGTTTAAAACACAGCAGTTTATCCAAAAATTCTTTTTGTCAGGTCCCTGGAGCATCAAGTTTGAAGTAGTATGTGCATACCTCTGTAGGCAGTGGCTTTAATGGGCTAATAATTGGAGGAATTACATTAACATTCCAATCCTCTTGAAGGAGTTACATACAATTCCCTAATGACACATACACATTTGCATTTTTAATACAGTGGATTGATCCCAAGGGTATTCACCCTAATTCAAGAAGATTTAACCTAATTCAATAAAGTTTATCTTAATTCTATAAGGTTTGTCCAGGATTTTACAGGATATTGTCAGTCTGTCACACTAATCATCTAGACCCGTAAAAAAAAAAACCAACCCATTGGTTATGGGAACGGAACCAGGCTACCATTCCGGTAAAAATGACTGCTCAGCAGAGAACACTGCCGACCCCAGGTGGAAAGAGCAGCAAATGACAGAGACACATGGAAGAGTTTCTGGACCAGTATAGGTGAAGGAAGGCTGTAAATGTTTCACCTGTCTTAATTTCTCAATTCTGGTTCTTTGAAGGTAATTCTTACAGAATTTTCCCACCTTAAATAGCTCTAAGGTGAATAAGGCTATGTCTTATAACCAAAAGCATAGGCAATGTAAAAAGAAGACTAATGCTCAGTATTGTAAAAATGCAACTTTTATATTAAAAGGATGGAGAACATTCTTTCATATAACAAAGATGAGTAAATCAACAAAGCCTGAAAGAATGTGACCTCATAAACAAAAACTGTCAATATTTGACTAATTCGGACATGAGATACCAAGAAGAAACTACTGAGGCAGGAGATTTTGGGCCACCCTAATCTCAGAAATGGGCATTCTGAATCCAAATAGGGACTCTACAAGGGCAAAAGCTAAGCAGGGATGGGCTGTGAAAGTGTGAGGTGGTAATGTGCAGTTTCTGGGGCAGCAGCTTTCTGTACCATGCTTGCTGCACAAAAGAAGCCTACATCCTTTCGATGGCTGTCCTGGTCAACTCTCCTGTGTGATGGTCGCCATCTCTTAGGGTAGGTCTTGGCAGAGAGCCTTACAGGAGCGAACCTTGTTCAACAGTTTGACTTCTAATGGAGTCATGGGTACCTCACAACATTCAAGGCAGCCTTTGAAGCTGAATAAACCCTTCTTGCAAATAACTGCCAACAATGTTCAGGTATCTGTTTTCCCTTAATCAGCAAACTTATAGGAAGTGCAATGTGTAGCCAACAGCATCCTTGGCAAAATGTATTTTTCTCTACTGCTTGAGATTGGAGTGTGACTGGATTTCTATATCTCTGTCATCTCATTATAAATGGTATGCAAGGTCACATTCATGGGAGCAGTCCTTAGGCCAGGTACCAATTAATCTTGGTCCTTGAGAATTCTTTGGTGGGGCCAAACCAAACCCGGATGGCCTACCCAGATATTGCAAAAACTGGGTGGAAGTTGGATTCTCCAGAGCAAATTGTTCTGTCTCTTATAGGTAAATCTATATTTGTCCCCAAATACACCCAGCCTTTTCTTTGGAATACAAATGATAATCCTGAGTTCTTCCAGGTTCACCTCCTTGATCTTACGTAAGTGACTGTGTGGTGCATTTTGAGGAGGTGGAGTAGTTGATGCTACTGGAAGAGGTGTTGGCACAGACAATCCTCAGATAGTCACTGCAAGCAAAGTTGCATGATAATTGCCCTAAGGTCAGAATTGCTTGTGTTGATATAGATTGCCTTCTGGATGCAGATGCCAGCCTGGTATAAACTGGGCTCCTAAGGTGCTGAGAATCCCAAACTTACTTCTTACTTACTTGCTTCTTACTATTCTGTCGTCTTATGCTTTGATACTCATCTTCAAGTTATTATCAGCCATTAAATGGAATGACTGGAACAATTCAGATGATATACCCTGATACCATTTTATTGATCTCCAGTTTCTGTGCTGGTATATGGAGTGTTAACTGGAGGCTTTGATGCAGAGCTGCCAGGAGTCAAGGCTTTGGTCAGTGTGCCAAGAGGCTGTTGGCTGTCGTTCAGTGCTCTTGAGGTGATTTCTCATGCTAAGATGATCTAGAGTTTAGTACTGCTTATTTGGTGCCTTAGTGTGCTGAGGGCATTTAAAGAAGATTTTGGCTTCTGAAGCATCAAATATTGCCTTGAGGCAACCAGTGAACCAGATCTGCTGGTTCTAGAAAGCTTCAGGGTAATGCTGACACTGCAAGCGCCACCACTGATTCCTGCCACAAAGGTGCTTGGTGTCTTGGGGCTAGATGACCGAAGTGCAAAGAAGGAAACCTGTAATTGTAGCTTACTGGAGAAATAAGAAATAGGGATCTATGAGCTGGAGCAGTGGCACTTACAAACCCTTTTTTACAACACTTGCAACATGATTGCTATGCTTTGGGGCAATTTTTAGATTGCTCAAATAATGTAAGCAAATGCAGGCACATGTGGAATTTTGGCTGAGCTTCTGCAGTACTAGTGTGTCCATTCCGGGCTACTGTCCATCTTGTCAAGCAGGCAGATGTCTCTGCTCCCCACAAGACCAGATGGGCAGAACTGAGAGACCATTAGGAGAACAAAACGAACAGAGCCAAACCACAGCCTTGTATACCTGTTAATGATGTTATAAAGATAAGTTGTAATCAGGTAGGACTCCAGAAAGTTGGTGACCAAGCAAAGGAAAAATCTGGAGTCCAGTTCTTTGTCTTGTCATTGGCAGAGCAGTAGACGGGCATACAAGAAATAACTTCTTTTGCAGAGTGTATTACTGGAGCATGCCACACAGGAAGCAGAACAAGAGTCTGTGAGTGGTTTAGCTGGCATTTGGCAACAGGGAGGGGGACACAAGATCCAAGACAATTCCTTGAAGGATTGTATCTTGAAAGAATAGTGGTGACTTTGTGAATATCGCCAGCCATTTATGTTAGTATTTCATTGCATACAGACTCAGATTCCTTTGAGAACTTAGCACCTACCAGCCGATGCACATGTGTTCATCTCTTGGGCATTCAGAAGTTAGCATTGTGGGATTTTTACTAATTTAAAAAATACATTGGATTACTTTTGTGTTTTAATGCACTTGCTTATACATAAGGTAGATTGTTCTGCAGCGTAGAATGACTGAGGTGGACTTCGGCTCATGTTTTAAGAGAGCAGCACTGCGGTATACTTTAGCCCCATGCCATTCCTCCCCCTAATTTCTCTGTAAATGCTCTGCATATGGAGTGTTTCTTGGGCTATTGGAACAATGCCATTTCTTCCATCCTTTTTCTACTAGCAAGAGGATGTAGGTTTTCACACTGTTAGCATTTCCTGTTTCATTAATGACAGGTTTCAGAGGAACAGCCGTGTTAGTCTGAATTCGCAAAAGGAAAGGAGTACTTGTGGCACCTTAGAGACTAACCAATTTATTTGAGCATGAGCTTTCGTGAGCTACAGCTCACTTCTGAGCTGTAGCTCACGAAAGCTCATGCTCAAATAAATTGGTTAGTCTCTAAGGTGCCACAAGTACTCCTTTCCTTTTGTTTCATTAATGTATGTTGAAGCTTCCAAGCAATGTATGGAAAAGTGTCCTGCAATATGTAGTGAGGTACTCCATCTTGAAATGGTGAAAGAGGGTGATTATTATTCAGTAGCTTTTTCACATTTTCCCCATAGCA